ACATACTCCTGGCCAGATACCCCATGGCCACTTTCAGACTGCCCAGACCTTCTGACTCAAGCACCAGTCCTCCATCTTGATTCATGGTCACACCCTTTGCAAGCTTGGCTGTTAAATCTCAGTTGCTGAGAGATAGGGGTGTGTTACGCAAGTTTGTGATTGTGAGTGGCTGTGACTTGGGAGCCTATGGGTGAAATCACCAATCCCAGGCATTCCCAGTGGTACTATCAGCCAAATATGACTAGTTTGTTTTGTGGTTTACTGAACCATAAACAGGGTGGATTCGGGAACATGAATCTCATCCCTACTTCTCAGTAATTGGTTGGAGAGGATAAAAAATCATAACTCAGTTATTGGTTCTTCTCTCTCTTATTGCTGGAACCTCCTTAACAGTAGCAGGCAGTAGCAATCAATACCCTGACCCTGGGAAAAACATGCAGATAGAGAGTAAACAAAGCCCAGGCTGGTTGTAGACTTGCTGCTAAAGCAAACACGGGAAAACTAGATGCACTCCAGTTTAAGGAAGAATCCCTATAACAGGAAGATTTTATTTTCAGAAGGAGGCCAGCAATGCCATCCCCCATATTTCTCTCATAAAAGGTTTACATAAAAAAAATCATCCAGAACCTTCAATTCCATCAAAAGAGAAATAAGGGCTTTATTCTTGATCACCTGGTGCTAGTCAGGAAAAACATAAAAGATAAGTGATATTTATGAATCCTTTTAACTGAGATGAGGAAGTTGTGAAGGATGCACGGGGGAAAAAAAGGGGGCTGCATGTACACTGATCTATGTAGGTTAAAATAAAACCAGATTAATAATGTGTAACGTTTCTGTCTGAGCATTCAGCAATTTTTAATTAGGGTGGCTATATAATCAGTTCCGTATTTATTTAATTAAACTAGATGTGAAGCTTTTATTCACTTTAGATAAATCAAGAAAATAGTAAATCTTTTTTTTTTTAATACTGTACTTTGGCTGTAAATTATATCGATTCATTTTATTTTACTACATTTTTTTTTCTCAAAGTTTGTACTATTTTACCTTCTCGGTTACTTTTATCCAGCGTTGAAAATTAAACAATAGCACATTACACAAGGTAAACAGCATGTTTCTCATGAGGTCATATTATGTTTGCTTTCATTATCTTGTCTTTATATTCAAAAAATAATGGACACTGGAGTATTGCACTACAATGTGAAAGCAACAATCTACAAATCCACAAGCTTCTGTGTGTTTATTAATGTTATCTCTTAGGTACAGTTTACTTTTTTATAGGTTGTCTTCATGTGTAGAACTATGGATACTCAACATTTCCTATACTCATCTATGGTTCTTCTGTTGTTTTCACTAAGGCCCATGAGGTTTAATCAGCAAGATACAAACCTCATAAAACTAAGTTGATTTACGTTGATAATTTTGCTTTTCACAGTATGTCTCTGAACACTATAATTGTCCCTTAGAGCTGTTTCCCTAGTTGTCAAAGCTATCCTGGTTATGAGAATTGCAACCAGCTCATATATAGAATAGTGATTACCGAAATGTAATGGATAGTCCCTAGAAAACCTAAAGTGTGAGGGTGAGCACTTGGAAAGATTCCCCAGTAATTCAGTATATATTCAAATACGTAAAGTAATTCTTGCTACAGAGTAAAAAAAAAAAATTAAAAATTAAAAAGAGATACCTGTAAATTCTATACATATCTTTCAGATGGCCCATGTGTTTAAATGCCATCACAATCCTGCTCCCTGGCCAGTGCAGGTATTCTACACTACCATTCTAGTAGAATGCAAGTTCTATAATCAGCAGACTGACTCCTCCCTGAGCACACTGTACTGGCTCCCTTAGGAAATGACCACTTTCCGTTCCTCTTTTTCTCCTCCCCACTCTGTCTCTCTTATTGGTTGACAGTATTCCTCAGAGCAAGTCAGGCATGGCCCACCCTGTGCAAGTAAGGCCCCACTCTGTCTCTCTCATTGGCTCACAGTGCTCCTCAGAACAAGTCAGGCAGGGCCCATCCTGTGAAAGTAAGGCCCAACTCTGTCTCTCTCATTGGCTCACAGTGCTCCTCAGAACAAGTCAGGCAGGGCCCATCCTGTGCAAGTAAGGCCCCACTCTGTTTCTCTCATTGGCTGACAGTGCTCCTCAGAACAAGTCAGGCAGGGCCCATGCTGTGCAAGTAAGGCCCCACTCTGTCTCTCTCATTGGCTGACAGTGCTCTTCAGAGCAAGTCAGGCAGGCCCTACCCTGTGCAAGTAAGGCTGTAGCAGTAAGCTTCTAAAGGAACCATGCTTCTGTGAATTTAAAAACTCAGCCAGCAAAGTTTATTGGACACTTTAGCTCCCTATCACATATTACAAACTTTTAAACTTAAAGTAGAAGATAATGCTAATAACAATTATTCTTAAAAATGTTGGCTCCACCCTTCTCCTACCTATCCTGCATTGCCTGCATAAAACAGCAGTGGAAAAGCTATTTTTTTTGTGGTCCAGTCTGATCACGTGATCCAGCAGCTCTGGATCCCCTATACCAGAGAATGCCTGCTGCAGCAGAGTGGAGGAAGCACCAATAATGGATTGGCAATGGGAGTGTCGTGTACAGGAGTCTGAGATGATGAGGTTGGCCTCTCTTGAATCTCCAGCCCAGGCCCTGTGGAGAGTGCAACAGATAGTGCTTAGATACAGCAGGAACATAAGTGCTTGTAGATGTTGATAGTAGAATGTGCCACTGGAGATGCAGGCTTATTAGAACTGGTAAGACATTGGGTCAGGAACAGAAGTTCTGCAGGATGGACCAGCTGGAGTTAAGGAGGAATTCTGCATGCTCTGCAAGTTCAGGAAGGGTCAGAGTTCCCAACAGACTTGAGTAAGAAGGTAGCATTGCTCAAGGTAGGCTCACCACTTCCACACTCCACAATATGCCATATTAAACAATCAAAAGGGACATTGAGAAATTCAGCACATAAATATGGTGTCTATGGTTTGTATTGTCTGATACAAATCTACACAGAAATCTTTTATGAAACTAATAATTGAAACATGGATGGCTCTCAGCCATAGGTATAAAATCCAAAACAAACAGGCTCTGGAACAAACAAACTCTGATTAGATATCCCTCCTGTACAATAATACCTCTCTATTCCCTTCTGTTCCATCAGCAGCTTTCACATATTCTTTCTTTTTGCATGCACAATATCAAGCCTTTGTAAAATTAAATACCTGCTAATCCTGTAAAACTATCTAAAAAAAAATTAAATAAAATTGTACATATATATATATTTAAGAGGGAAACGGCAAAAGTTACATCTGTTCAGTTTTGGTACATACATGAGGATATTGATTGAACAAGATGCAGTTATCTGGGTGTTATTATAATAAGCTAAACATTCTTGATTATCTTATACTGTTGACTGTGAAATGAAATTGTTGACCTATGCCTTGTTATGTATTTACATTCTCTTTCATTGTTGTATTAAAAAAAAAAACTTGTAATGAGTTTGTCTGATAATGGTAATAAAGAGGCAAGATATTACATCAATTCTTCTTTGAGTTTTTTTTTTTGTTTGGTAAGGAGGAAGGCAGGTGGGTATGTGTTAGTGGGTGGGAGGGTAAGAAAAAAAAAGGGAAAGGAAGGGAGGGCTAGGGGAGCGTTAGAGGAGGAAAGAGAGGAGAAATTGACAGAAAGGAAAGCACAAAAAAAGGCTAAATCTTTTATGTTGCTCTTTAGCAGGTAAAGCTGGCTCATCCAGGGCACTGAGTATAAGTACCAGTTGATCTTCACCAGAACTCCTCATGGTGGATATGGACCAGAAATCCCCAGTGGTCCCTGATTTTCTTCATTGCACACGTGCACTAGGTTGTGATTTGTTTAATAGGGCTTCTACAGGGTTCTTGTGTACGTTAGCAATTAAAATTTCATTTATGAGTTAGTAAACCTGGTTTCATAATCTTTGTGCCTTGGGGCATGGGCACCTTTTAACTGCAGCACTCAAAGCAAAGAGAATGAGTAGCTAGGTACATGTTTAGCAATGTGAGAGGTACTTCTATATTATTATAATATAGGATTTATATAGCGCCAAGAGTTTGCGCAGCGCTTTACAAAATGATACCAATGAATTGAACTTTGTATGAATTCTTAAAAGTTAAAATATTAAAATAACTCTTAGCAGTGGAGGTCTAACTTTCCACCCAGCCTTCTTCTGATAAAGTTTTGCCTTGTGTAACATGTAATTTGTTTTGAAGGGAGCCTTAAATGAGCGAAAAGACAGAGAAATGAGTCCCAAGGAATGAAGAGCAGTGTCAGGAATGGACTTGCCAATAGTGGTGGGACTCACCTGCCTTGTGGGCTGCAGTACCAGGGCTGGGGCCAGCGGGTGCTCTCAGCAATCAGAGACTCAACCCTGCAGCCAGCCAAACACCTGAAGCTGATTATGCAGGTGTATTTAAGGGATGGCCAGACCTGCAGTCTGGGCCTTGGTGTGTGTTTTTCCTGGGCCCCTGTATCTTGTTACCTGCATCCCTGTTCCTGTCCTGTCCCTGTCTGACTGATTCGTTGCTGTCCCTGCCTGATCCGGACCTCTGCTGACTTCTCCTGTTTGATCCCTGGCTTGTGACCCCGACCATTCTCTGCCTGACCCCCTGTACCTACCTGCCCGTTAGTTGCTGTATCCGGCTTGTGACCTGACTACTCTCTGCCTGCTCCTCCTGTTCCTACCTGCCCGATTGTTATTGACTCGGCGCTGGACCCTCAGGCACAGCGGCAGGCACCGGGCCCCCAGGAGGGGCGGCAGGCACCAGGCCCCCGGGCGGAGCGACAGGCATCGGGCCCCCAGGCGGGGCGGCGGGCGCCGGGCCCCCAGGCAGACAGCGGGCACTGGGGCACCGAGTCACCAGGCACAACAGTGGGCTCCGAGTCAACTGGCATGACCGCGGGCACTGGGTCAGACATTGGATCGTCTGGCTTGACAGCGGGCATCGGGTCACCAGGCATGACAGCGGGCACTGGGTCATCAGGCATTGGATCGTGTGGCTGACAGCGGGCATCGGGTCACCAGGCATGACAGCGGGCAACGGGTCATCAGGTACCAAATCGTCTGGATCGACAGCGGGCATCGAGTCAACTGGCCTAATAGGATCATCAGGCTGGATCAGTTCATCAGGCTGGGTAGAAACATCATGCTGGGTAGAGGCATCGGGCTGAATGGAGGCATCGGGCTGAATGGAGGCATCGGGCTGAATGGAGGCATCAGGCTGGGTAGAGGCATCGGGCTGAATGGAGGCATCAGGCTGAATGGCGGCATTGGGCTGAATGGAGGCATCGGGCTGAATGGAGGCATCGGGCTGAATGGAGGCATCAGGCTGGGTAGAGGCATCAGCCTGCTGGGTAGAGGCATCAGGCTGGTATGGAGGCATCAGGCTGAATGGAGGCATCAGGCTGGGTGGAGGCATCAGGCTGGGTGGAGGCATCAGGCTGGGTAGAGGCATCAGGCTGAATTGTGGGTGCCGAGGCACCAGGCTGCACCACGGAAGGCAGGTTCTCAGATGGGAGGCTGACCGGTTTGGATACTGGCAGGATGGTATTGGTTGGAAAGAACTTTCGCCTTTTCCTGGTTTTAGTTACCGGAGCACTGTAAGTAAGCGCAGGTTTGTAAACGGATGGAGCAGCTGGAGACAGAGAAGAGCTGGAAGATGGAACAGGGGAGGGGGAACAGTTGCTACAGAGGGCTTCTTTACAGGGTTAAAGGCAGGATAGGTGCAGCGAGTGGGAACCAGGTACTGACATGCGGTAGATAGCAGGGTATACTGGGCTGTAACTGGAGGTGCTGTTGGGAATGCAGTTCATCAGGCTGGGTAGAAACATCATGCTGGGTAGAGGCATCGGCTGAATGGAGGCATCAGGCTGAATGGAGGCATCGGGCTGAATGGTGGCATCGGGCTGAATGGAGGCATCGGGCTGAATGGAGGCATCGGGCTGAATGGAGGCATCGGGCTGAATGGCGGCATCGGGCTGAATGGAGGCATCAGGCTGAGTAGAGGCATCAGGCTGAATGGAGGCATCAGGCTGGAATGGAGGCATCAGGCTGGGTGGAGGCATCAGGCTGGGTGGAGGCATCAGGCTGGGTAGAGGCATCAGGCTGAATTGTGGGTGCCGAGGCACCAGGCTGCACCACGGAAGGCAGGTTCTCAGATGGGAGGCTGACCGGTTTGGATACTGGCAGGATGGTATTGGTTGGAAAGAACTTTCGCCTTTTCCTGGTTTTAGTTACCGGAGCACTGAAGGTAAGCGCAGGTTTGTAAACGGATGGAGCAGCTGGAGACAGAGAAGATGGAACAGGGGAGGGAACAGTTGCTACAGAGGGCTTCTTTACAGGGTTAAAGGCAGGATAGGTGCAGCGAGTGGGAACAGGGTACTGACATGCGGTAGATAGCAGGGTATACTGGGCTGTAACTGGAGGTGCTGTTGGGAATGCAGGAATAGAGCTTTGAAGAAATAGATTAGAAGCAGGACTGGGTTTTTTGCAAGCTGACTGAGGCTGGGTGCAACAAATATGACCATGTCTGCAGTATGGGTTGAACAAAGCTCCGCTTACACAAAGCCTGTCTGACCAAAGACTGCACTGCGTTTATACAATCAATTAGTACCTGTGGTGAACATGCAGCATAATGCTCCAAGAAGCAATCCACATCATCCTCTAATAACCATACCAGGGACTCTACCTGGTCTGCACTAAATGGTGGCAAAAAGTCATTCCTGCTTTCAGGGGTACCAGATAAAGCCAACTCTACACAAACCTGAATCAAAGGTTGCACCTCAGAGAACTCTGTGCCCTGATCTACTAGAACATGAGCGATCCGTATACATTCTAGCAGTTGAGTATACTCCCTCAGAGCCTGATAAGCATATTCTCTGTCATCAAAAACCAGCAGCGACAAATACACAACCTCATCAAGATCCATCCTTCCCAGCAACAAGCCAAGATGGCTTACCTGTGCAGCCACTTCTGGTCAGGATTGGCCTTGGTGTAATGTCAGGGCTCCAGGGTATGACCAGAGGTATGTGAACTGACGCAGGGAAACGCAGGCTTCAGATATGTTATAAACAATATAATTTATTAACACTAACAATACATAAACGCAGTGCAATACTAAAACATAACACAGTGCAAACAAACCAAACCAAACCACCCACAGATAACAGTACATACAACGCAAGCGTCGTCAGGCAGGCCTGGTCAATAACAATCGGGCAGGTAGGAACAGGAGGAGCAGGCAGAGAGTAGTCAGGTCACGAGCCGGGTACAGCAACTAACGGGCAGGTAGGTACAGGGGGTCAGGCAGAGAATGGTCGGGGTCACAAGCCAGGGATCAATCAAACAGGAGAAGTCAGCAGAGGTCCGGATCAGGCAGGGACAGCAACGAATCAGTCAGACAGGGACAGGGACAGGAACAGGGATGCAGGTAACAAGATACAGGGGCCCAGGAAAAACACACACCAAGGCCCAGACTGCAGGTCTGGCCATCCCTTAAATACACCTGCATAATCAGCTTCAGGTGTTTGGCTGGCTGCAGGGTTGAGTCTCTGATTGCTGAGAGCACCCGCTGGCCAGCCCTGGTACTGCAGCCCACAAGGCAGGTGAGTCCCACCATTACTGGCAAGTCCATTCCTGACAAGCAGAACAGAATTTACTTTTAAAGTCAGTGAGAACTAGTGGAGTTTCCGTCTTTTTCGGGAGAGAAGTGATAAAAGTGCTGTAGTTGCATATATTAAGTTCTTGATTGATATCTTGAAAATAATCAAACTTAATACCATCAAAATGTAGAAGGAGGTAAGCATCTGTGAAAACTTTTTGGGTCCACCACTTGAATCTATTGGGGTATTCTTGTCCGGGTAGAAACAGGGAGCACCTCACCAGTTGTAACAAGGGTAGGTGAGGAGAGGCAAGGACTTCTGAATACTTTTATTGAATCCCATAGCTTAAGCGAGTGTGTCAAGGCAGGGTTTTTAAAACCATATTAGAGTGTAATGACTTGAGAAGGACCCAAATAGGATTTTTCATGCACGTAGATTGGCTAATAGGGTTTTTTTTTTGGGCTGTCTTATAATAATTTACTAATACAGGCATGCCTAGGCTGTCATTAATTGTATGTGAAAACATTTAGTACTGTTGACCCTGGAATGCCACTGAACCCCATATAAATTTCCTTATTGTCTTAAAGTGATTGTAAACCAAAACTAGGTATCGCAAAGGACAGGTAGTAGATTCAGAAGAAATGCCATTTAAGGCTATTAAGTCTGCCAAACAAGAACATTGGTAATGATTACATGTATGAAAATAGAATAAGGTTTATGGAGAAGAGGTGGGTAATTGGTGGATACCAAAGTATGGCAATTGTGAGGACCATAGAAAGCTAAAATTTTGTTTTGTACCAGCTAACGTTGTTGGAACCAAAGTAACATTTTGACTGATTAATGTTTAAACCCCAAAACAGGGCGAATTTGCTATGAGAATCAAATATAAGACAAAAAGAATAAGGGAATAAAACAGGCAGGGCAAAAATATGTGGGGGAAGATGATATAAAAAGAATATCATCTACAAAAAAGCAATATTTTATTCTCGATCACAGTTTCCTCCAAGCCTTTGATGTCCTTTGTTGTCTTATATAAAGGGCAAGTGGTTCCGATACTAAGATGAAAAAAATGGGAGAGAGGGAACAACCCTGCCAAATCCCCCTGTGAATTGGTAACAGAGAGGAGTAAAATCTGCAGTATCAAATGTAGGCTGAGGAACCAGAATATATAGGGCCATAATCAAGTTTAAGAATTGTTCTCTAAATCCCTATTTACATAGGGTATATTGCTCATACTGTCAGGAAAGTGTCAAAAGCTTTTTCCTTATCTAGAGTAGAGTAGAGTAATGAGTAACAGGATAGGCTACTGTGTAGATATCATGTTAAATATTTTTTTTTTTATAATATTGGTTGCCTGTGATTTACCTGTCAGAGGAGTATTAAATGGCAAAAAATGGCATCTTAAACTCCCTTCCTGTCCAGGCCATCTTTAATTTTTCAGCACTGGGATGATTTGATTAACAACTACTCGGTCATGCAGCACTGTCACCACTGGGGTTTAATTTTATTTATAAATAAAAGAAAAAAGGCTGGCATTTTTTTTTAAGTTGCTGCAGGGGGAACCATACATAGTTACATTATTAATCTGGTTGAAACAATTGAGTACCGTCCGTGATACTTTTTTTATTTGCACTAACATACAATTTTGAGGACAAGCTTTCGGGGAATGTCCCCTTCTTCAAGGTCTAAGCAGTACTAAGTACTAAGCAGTAGACCTTGAAGAAGGGGACATTCCCCAAAAGCTTGTCCTCAAAATTGTATGTTAGTGCAAATAAAAAAAGTATCACGGACAGTACTCAATTGTTTCTGTCGCAAATGCACTAATACGGCTACAATCAACTCAAACATAATCTGGTTGAAAAAAGACAAAAGTTAAACAGGGGACCATTTCCAGTAATTGTCCCCCTCTCCCACTGCTTGGGCCCCCTGTGTGCCCCCGCAGCACTTCTGGTTTCCATACTCTCCTCTCCTCTAGGGGGGATAGATTCAGGATGGAGAGCAGGGGAAGGGGCAGTAAATATGTCATATTTCATGTACTGTATGTCATATAAAATTAGCTTTAAATTAAATAGGCTCTCCCCCTCTGAGTTCTGCCCGCCTATTATTATACTAACCTTCAGCCCTGATACATCAATATTCACTGTGCACCCTGCTCTGAGCTGCAGAGCTGTATGGACAGCTAGGGAAAGAGCAGCTGAAATCAAATAATAGGGATTTTATCATAGTTTCATACACAGTATGAAAAGAGGCAAACATATAGAAATCTAGTTTAGTGTAGCACCCACTTACCCCCTTAAGATGATTAGGAGATGGCTCATTGGGTTAGCTGTTCATCTCAGGGTGGAATCTTGACCTTTTGTTGGGTGGAAAAAATTAATGCAAATAACCAATAAATACATTGAGGGGGATATTATGGCGCAGGAGTCCCAAAAGACCAATATGCAGACTCTATATCTTAATTCACAGTCTATGCAAGAATAGAACCTTAGTCCTTTTTAGTGTTTGGCAAACACATTTGGATAAAGTGAATGTATACTGTATGGCCAAACGTTTGTGGACACCTGACTATCATGCCTATATGAGCTTGTTGGATATTCAGTGCTAAAACTATGGGTATGTTGAACCCAAAAGGTGTTCAATAGGGTTAAAGTCTGGGCTCTTTGTAGGCTTCTCAAGTTCCTCCACACCAACTTGTTAACCATGTATTTACAGAGCTGGCTTCTGGCACATGGGCTGAAACAGAAAAGGGCCTTCCACAAACCCCAAGGTTGGTGGAAGTGCAAAATTTTCTAAAATGTCCTTTATATATAACAGCTTTTAAAATACCCTTCTGTAGTAACATTTGAACTCAATCATTTACAGAGGTGTCCATACTTTTGGTCATATAGTAGGTTAGCAGGTTAAATGTCAACAAACATTTGACCATG